CCCCCCAACTATAGTAACTGACGCCATCATCTTTCTCTAAATGCCCACATTCAGATCCAACAACATCGCCACGTAAGTTTAGACTCCATAACTCTGTGAGGCTCCTGTGTCCTCAAACTGAAGCAAAATTTCGGTGTCAGATTCTTTAACTGTGTGTATCCGCCAAATTAAGCCAAACATTTTTGTTTTTTCCCCCTCAAATTATGTTATCACCAAAAACAAATTAAGCCAAACACTTTTGTTTTTTCTCAAATTATGTTATCACCTAAAGCAAATTAGGTCAAATACTTTTGTTTTTTCTTAAACTATGTAATCACCAAAAGCAAATTAAGCCAAATACTTTGTTTGCCCAAACTATTTTATCATCAAAAATTAATTAGGCCTTTTGTTTTTTGTCAAACTATTTTCTCACCAAAAGTGATTGCAGTTGATGATACTGTACTGGCGTCTGTTGTGTAGCGGTAAGACGCTTCTCTGTGGCATGCAGAATTCCTGAGTTTGATTCTTGGATGAGGAGGAGAATTTTTATCAAGTATCTCGCTAAGTCTATGTGCAGGAATATATCCATGTCGACCCTGATTGCTCTTAAATTATCTAAATTGTGTCGATGGGGACGTGAAAACATATATTGGAAAGAAAAAAAAAGATACTATAAATAAGTACAAAGAGTACTCTACACAACATTTTGAGCCTTTCCAGAAGATGATAGAAAAGAATTACATTTCTTTCTCCCTGAAAGTGTTTAACCTAATTTGATGGATACTCGGTTAAATTCGGACACCGACGAAATTCGTAAAGTAGTGTCTGTACGTGGAGTCACTGACTGCCGACTTGCTTGTGCAGTTCATTTTGTTTGTATCATGGTTGATCGATCGTGTTGCATGCTCATGAGTACTTTGTCACACTTTTGTTTTTCTTGTGAAGGGTGTTTCAAGGTAGCTTGACTTTAAGTACAAGGTCAGAAATTGGTAATTATGAATGTAGTTGTTTTACAAGATAAACTTTTCCACACAGAAGAAAGTGCTACATTGAATAGACGAACGCTTTCTAGATGACATTGGAACATTAGAATTTTATATCTGAGCAATATTTTATATAAACACACTTTTCTTTTATGAATAAATATTCACTAAGACCTGTAGTGTAGAAAAACACTGCCGTATGGAACGGCATATTAAACAAAAAAAATTTTTTTTTTTGGGGGGGGGGGGTGATAGAGGGTGTCCTATAAATAAGAGACAGTTCAAACCATGAAGGAATTTTAAAAACAACTCTGGAAGCTTGAGCAAACATCAGTGTTGTGTCTTGTGAAGTGGTCTTTGAATTTTTAATGCATGAAAAGTTTTCTTGGTGGAGTTCTTATGGTGTCATTGTGAGGTCGTTGTGTACTGTGGAGATGTGATAGACAGCATGAGATGTGTTGATGGTGTGTCCCATTGAAGTTATTTATGGTGTCTATACGCACTTATGTAAGGGGAGACGAATTCATGTGTGAATTTTTACAGTTACGCATCTATTTGTTGGTGTAGCTACTGTGGGCTACATGCTTATGAGGTCTGTGTACTGTTCATCATCGCTTCTTTTTTGTTTTGTTTTTGGTCACCTGAGCTTGATCTTTGGGTGGTTGGAGGGTGCCACTGGTAGGTCCTCCTTCTTCTTCTTTTCATTCATTCCCTCTGTTGTTTCTGTCTGTCCTTCTTGCTTTTTCTCTGCACTAAATGGCTGTTGTGTCAATATGCCTCTCTTTACTCAAACAAAAAAAAAATTATGAGCTGGATCTTCCTTGCAAGTTAATAAAACAGAACGTTGTGTATTGGTTGTACATAGTAGAATTCTTATAGAAAAGTTTCCTGAAGACAGACTTTGTCTTAAGATTGAACTTGTGATCAACTGGGTGTTGTGGTGAACCATCTACCTTGTGTCTCCCTCTCCTCTCCCCTTCCTCCTCTTCCTCCTCCTCCGCCATGTCAGGGTGTGATTGTGTAGCCGTCGTGGCCATGACACAATTATCAATTTTTTCTCTCTCCAGTTTTGTAATCATTGTTATTGTAAGAATGCCTTTTACTTGTTTTGTAACCTCTGTATAGCACTATGAGTACCTCTTGTAAAAAATATTTAGACATTTTCACATTTACACAAGTCATAACTTTAACTTCAGTGAGCACTGGTTTTATAACTTTTCTCAAAACAGCAATAACAACAACTAAATAATTAACCTGAGCCATTGTGTTATAATCATACAATTATTTATCTTGGGGCACGTACAAGAAGTTGTTTCCTTAGTGACTGCATACTCGTCTACAATTCAGTATCAGTGCAAACAAATAGTAATTTGAATTGATTTTTATAATATGAAGATCTTTGACCTCCTCTTGTTTCCATTTCAACAGCTTCCTTCTATGGCCTTCCAACCCATCCCAGTGAACTGGGCTCCCCACCCCCTCCGGCCTCCTCGCCCTCCTCGTCGTCAGCAGCAGCAAGTAAAGGAGGGAAGACATCCTCATCAAGATCATCCCACTCATCAGCCACAGCGACATCAGCTTCATCATTACCATCATCGTCCTCAGCACACAGGCAGTCATTATCAAAGTCTTCATTATCCTCATCTCCTTCCCCCCTCGCTGCAGCAAGCATACCTCCTTACTTCCCCGGATGGGCCATGAATGGAGCGGCTTATCCGTTCCACCCCCCAGCCGCCCCAAGTGCAGAAACTGCCAAGCTGTCTTCATCTTCTAGAAGGTCTCGGAAGTCGTCGAGTAACGCTGAGAAACGAAGCAGTAGCAGTGGTGGTGGTAGCAGCAGCAACAGCAACAATATACCCCATGCTCACCAACGGTCGTCATCGTTATCATCACCATCAACGTCTTCATACTCTGCGGCGGCTTCGTTGTCCATACCCACTGCTCATTTGTCCTCATCCTCATCTGCCTCTTCGGATGGCAGGAAAAAATCAGGGGAGAAGCCATCGGCCTCATCATCGTCATCATCCTCAGCCGTCCCGGAAGTGCCCGGCTTCCCTTTTGACCCCAGTGCAATGATCACCCCGTACCACATGTCGCCAGAGTTGGCCTACCTGTCTCAGTCTCTGTTCCTACACCGGCCCGACCTGGCCATCCCCTCGCCATTCCTGGCCGCGTCTGCTGCAGCTGCGGCTGCGGCTGCGGCTTCTTCTGCTTCCCCGTCGGCAGTTGTGGCCTCTAGTCTGGGACTTGAACCGGGGCAGCTGCTCTCCCCAGCGTCTTCGTCCTCATCTCCGTCTCTGTCGTCCAAGCCGCCACTGCAAACGTCGTCTAAGTCGAAATCATCGTCGTCGTCAGCCCAATCATCCTCTCGTGCAGCCACATCAAACAGTTTCAAGGGAGATAAGAAGTCAAAAGATGTGAGTGATTTTTCTTTAAAATTACAATTTTTAAAATACAGTTGAAATTGCTTGAGATGGCCACCCCTTGTTGGGGAGAAAAATAGTTGTGTTGTACAAGTGCTTGTCTTGGATTGTGTGATTATAATATATGAAAAATGCTGGGTGGGAAGTGGTCGTTTGTACAGGACTCTTCGCTATTAGAGCAGGTTCAACTGTATCTGGTATCATAAGCTGAAAACCAAGTATGGTTACTACTACACTTTTGAAAGAAAATCAGAAGACATATCGGTGTAGTTCTGCCATACCCCATTTTGAAAAGTGACGTTTGACGGAGTCTTACACTGAGCAGTAGGTTTTTCAGGGTAATTGAAGGGAGACAAACTGAAGGAAATTTGAAAAAGAATCTTTGGTCTGGTGACCGAAGAATTGTTTTTGAGTGTGAAATTATTTGTTTAAAAAAAAAAAAAAATGATTGAAAATTTTCATAAATGTTTGTTTCTTAATCCTTGATTTTGAGAATGTAAAGCATTGTCTAGTAGTAGTGAAATTTTGCACAGCTGATTAAAACCTGCAAATTCTTTGCCATATAACAGACCGAAGGGCTAGAACCCAAATCGCCGCTGGATCGGAAAAGTAAAGTAAAGTAGTGAAATTTTAGGTTGTTGTTGCAACTAGAAAAATTTTATTATTTTTAAAATTCATTTTGATATCATTACTGTTCCATTTTCAGAAGGCCGGGAGTTCAGGCTCAAGCAAGCTGAAAGAGTTGGGGGCGTCCTCCAAGGGTTCTGAGACGGACAATCATTCTGATTTGTTTCCTCATGTGTTGGACTTGGTCACGCACTCGGACCCCGATAGACTCTCGGTAAGGCTCTGGTTTTCTGATGTCTGTTTTGACAAATAAATTTGTAGCATTGTTGTATTAGAATATATCTTTTTTTTTTCCTTCAGGTTTTTGTGTTTTTGAATTAGACTTTCCAAGTTTGTTATCAAAATAGGCTAAAGGCATTTCACTTTTACCCCCCAGAGTGATTGTGAACTCTTTTTTGAGGATAATTCTTTAGTTATGCCTTCATAATTTTGTGTTTTTAATTGTTAATCTTCTACCTCTCAGAACGATCCGTCCCATTTCATGGATGATGGAAGGAAAAAGAGAATTGCAGAGAGCATCCGTCGACGTGTGGGAATGCAAGAGAGCATGGCTGCACTACTTTCCAAGCACGGATTTAAGCACACTGATTGGATGGACTCAAGTTTAGATGATGGAAGCCTGGGAGAAGGAAAGTCTGGGAGAGAAGAGAGATCGTCAGAGCAGCATGGTGCCAAGAGGTCTCAGGATAGCGGAAATGTTCCATTAGATCTAAAATCCAGGGAATCTGAGGTTTGTATGCGTAAATGTTTTAAAGAAAAAGTTGACAGATTTTTTAAAGGTTCTTCTGAGTTTTCATCCTCCCTCTCCCTTCCCTTCCCACTCTCCCTTTCTCTCCCTTTCTCTCCCTCACTCTCACTCGTTCTCCCTTACTCTCTTTCTCCTTCTCTAGCTCTCTCTCCTCTATCTCTTTCTTTCACTTTCTTTCACCTTTTCTCTCCTCCTCCTCCCACTATCTCACTTATTCTTTTGGTTTCTCTTTCTCTCTCTCTCTGAGTCTGCCCTCCTGCGCCCCCCCCCCCAAATTAATATATTATTCACTGTTTTTCCTGCCTCCTTCTTTTCTTTTCTTTTCTGTGATTTGGATATTCTTTTAGTTATTCGATAACATTTTATTCCGAAAGTTGTATTCCTGCTTTAACCTGTACAATTTTTGTTTGTTTACTTGCAGAAAATTTCTGAAAAAGATCGTCTTGAGGCTGAACTCTTGAAACAGGAAGAACAGTTGTCAAAACTGAAGAAGAGATATTCTTTAGGGGAAGAGGTTAGTATAGGAATCTGTGTAGGCATTTTATCTTGTCATGGGCCATCTTGTTTATTTGTGTCTTATCTCATCTTGTTTTATCATTTAGTGTCAGTGTCTGTGTTGGTGTCTGATTTTGACATGTCTCATCTTGGTTTCTCTAATGTCTTCTTTTGTATTGTTTGATTTTTTATCTTGGTTTATTTTGTCGAGTCTCATATGTCTTATTTCATCTTGTTTTATCATGTTGTGTCTCGTTCTGTTTATCATGCCTGGTCTCATTTTGTTTTATCTTGTCATATCTCATCTTATTTGTTTTATACCCCCTGAGGCAGTGCCACTGACTGAAGGGTCTTTAGGTCCTTCCCAAAGGGGGGAAATTTCTCGTTCTAATGCACGGTAGAATTGTAAATGGGCTTATTTATGAATGTCATGCTCATAACTGTGCCTGAACTACAACAGGGAACTGCTGCTTTTTCTTTCCTAGTCCTTACTATCGTCATTTTCCTCTACTTCTTTTGTATGTTTGTCACACTTTTGTGACCCGCTATTTCCGGGGTACCTTGATAGTCGAAGCAGACTTTGTGCTGTTGAAGCTAGAGAGGTGAGCAGAGTAAGTCTGATTCCCTGTAAGGACTTCTCTGTTGACATTCACCCCTTGGTGCTCATATGACCTTATGCAGTTGCGAGCGCCGTAAAACCTCTACCAAAACAAACAATTTGTTTTATCATACACCTTGTCTCATCTTGTTTTATCACACAGTGTCTTATATTTTACGTCTTCAGAGCATGTCTAGCTTGGTGGACGAGTCATATGACTCTTCCAAGTCTCAGGCCCCGTCAGAGACGGAGGATTCCAGAATTGGCAACAGCTCTGCAAGCGAGAACATGGATCACGACAGCCAATCAGGTACAGAAGCCAAAAATCTGTATTTCCTCACCTTTTAAAGGTCTAGCATCAAGATATTTTGCCTGCCATCTACAACAATTATCTTTTTTTTTGTGCTACTCATGTGTTGCAGTTTTCATAACCAAGCAGAACTATACTTGAAAACCAGTAGATATTTCACTTCCTCTCAATAATTCGTATCCATTCCTCTTTGAAGGCTCCCTTAGACCATCTCAATAAAAGTGATTTTATGTTCCTTAAAAGTACTGATCAATCTTGTGGAGTGTAAATGAAAAGCTGCTTTCCAGGTCTGTAGAAAAGCTTTTGTTATGAAAACGTGTCTGCAGTCAAGGTGCAATGTGGTGGTTCTTTATTTCTTAATTTTTTCGTTCTTCCCAGGTTCGGAGTCCGGGCGCTCGTCCCCGGAGAGTGGCAAGAGAGGAGCGGAGGGCAGCACAGACGAAGGTAAAGAAATCTCAGTCGGTTGTCGGGTGGAAATAGCAAACGTTTTAATAGCTGCCAACCAGTATGTGCAACTTTATTTAATATGTTTTAGCCGGTCTGAGAATCTCTTGCCCTTTTTAACTCCCAGTGTAGCACAGGCCATCAACAGCATTACTCCAGCGAAGCCTGTCCTGGGCATCCTTTTCTATGTTTCCATGATGTCCTAGTATTTCTCCTCACAGACTTAAAATTGTTAATGAAGTCCGGAAGTCAGTTGGAGAGATCTCTTGTAGCAGGTCTGTTTGAAGAGTGTGTGAAGGGTACGGAAGGGAGTACTTGGTCTGTTTTATAACGTAAAACCTATTCTCAAAAAGTGTCCACATGAGTAGAGTCTGGTTTTTAGATAGTTTTGGGACATATCTTGAAATATCCCTGACATGTGTCCATGTTGGACCTGTCTTTTAATTATCTTAACCTGTGTTGAGATTTGACCTCTCTGAATGACCCTTACCAGGTTCCCCCAACAAGAAGCGCTGTGTCCAGATGGACGAGAGAGAACTGACCATTCCCCTGGAGCACGGCTGGAACAGGCAAACCATTATTAACGGCATGGGGCGCAGAGGCATTGTGGGAGAAGTGCTTTACTTTGCACCATGCGGCAAGAAGATGAAGACCATCCCTGATGTCATGAGGGTAGGTCAAGTTTTTTTTTCCTTCTCTTTTCAAAGGGAAGATGAGACAAGACCTGTTTGTTAGTGTTTGAGCATGTGCAATCCGCAGCTTGCACTGTGTGCTTCCCTGGCAGCAAAGAATATTTTTGAGTGTTCCAGGGTCTGATGGGGGCTATAATAATTGTAAAGTGCATAGAGCATGCTGTAGGGCGTGCATATGTGCAATACAAATTATTATCTTTACTATTATTTGTTATTATTAATTATTATTATTGAAAAAACAAATACAGGATAGGAAAAGAATGTATGTAACAAGATGAGATAAAATGAAAGAAAATAAGAGAGGAAAGAGACAAGGCAATTGTGTTAGGGGTGCCAAAGAATAGACATAACTAGATGAGGTAAGATTAATGAAAGTAAGAGAAGAAAGAGACAAGGCAATTGTGTTTTTTGTTTGGGGTGCCATATACAGCGACAAAGCACAGCTGATTAAAACCTGCAAATTCTTTGCCATATCGACCGACCGAAGGGCTAGAACCCAAATGGCCGTTGGATCGGAAAAGTAAAGTAAAGTAAAGTTTGGGGTGCCAAAAATTAGATGTAACATGGCTATGTAAGTACAAGTATGCTTTCAGACAGAATTACTGCATGGTAATGATACAAGTCTAGCTTTCAAATAAATAGGAAAATATTTATAGTGTTATCTGCTATCTTTCTGAGGACTTGGTTGAATTAACGCATGTTTCTTAGTTTATTCATAGAAGAGATTTCTTTTCTTCAGTTGGTAGTAAATTTCCTGTCATCTTTTGAGTCGAATGTAGGAGCTGTAAAGCGGAGAATTATTCTTCATCAAAGAGTTAGTTGGAATCTGGTGGTGGGGGATTTTGAAAAAAAATGGCTCCAAGAATGTGAGAATAATTCAGTATTGTATTGAATAAAAAGTGGCTAACTTGACAACATTTATCTTTGTATTTCTTTCCATAGCGAGAAGATCATCCTAACATTTATCTTTGTATTTCTTCCAGTACCTCGAACGCCATCCCAACTCTGATTTGGGGAGGGAGAACTTCTCTTTCAACACCAAAGTCAATGTTGGTCATTTCTACGAAGTGCGGCAAGGACAAGGGGTAACTGCTTACTCATTTATCTTTTGGACTTTTGTAATTTAGTGCGCTGATTTGCACTTCTAAAATGCATGGTCATTATAATGTACCAGATACGAAACCCATTGATCATGGTTCTCCAATCATTTCTTTATTGGGATGCTTTATACAAACCTGCATTACCCCATCACCCATCTGTTCAGGTTTTCCAAGTAAGTTGCACTGGGTCTCCCCCTGCCTTGGTAGCCATCTATTTTTCTAGTGAGCGCAAGATGTCCAATGTATTGTACTTTTCCTAATAACCAAAACCTGGATATGAATGTCTTAAAGAACTCATGACCAATTTTAATTCTGTCTTCTCTGTTTAAAAATCTTGAAAAGGTTGTTCTTGAGCCATTTTTGTCACCTCTTACAAGTGAACATTCCGGAGATTAGGGTGGGAGGGTTTGGAGGGTTCCCAATAGTTTTTGGTCTGTTGCCCAATAGTTTTGATCCATTGCTCATTCAACATTCATGTCTTCTCAGTCCACACCTGTGCCTCTGACCGACACCGAAGTGATCGAGAGGATTGAGATGTCGCGCGGTAAAAGGGCTCGTATGCAGCTACTGGCGCGGAAGAAGCGGGAGAAGGCCGCCAGAGAACAGGCGCTGGCACGGCAGATTATGGAGAACAAGCTGAAACGTCGCATGGAGCTCCAGGGTGAGTGGGCCGGACACAAGCTGCTGAAGGAGATGCAGGGAGGGAGGGAGGGAGAGTTGATGGACAAAGAGGAAATGCAGGCCTGCCAAGTACTCCGATAAAATCAGAGGTCACCGGTTTCTTTTTGCATGTTGAAGAACCTTGATCAAATTCGCATAAAATTTTTTTCTTAAATTTCTTTTCCATCTGTCGTATGCAACTGATTGTAAATGACGTGAAAATACATGGGTTTATTTGTAGTTATTTGCAACATTTGTGTGACTTAATTTGAGGAATTCAAGAAAACTCCTATTTTTGGTCATGGAAGCGTTGGCAGGTCTGCACGTGGGTGAGGATGAGAAAGGCTGGTGGTATGGAGGTGCACAATGGGGGCGGAGGAGGATAAGGTGAGAAAAGGGCATACACAACGGGAAAAAAAAGAACTAATTGATCTTCCCCTGTGAAATTGTCACGGACAACAACAAGTCTTTACTTTTAAAAGGAACTTTTGCATCTTTGTGGCACATTGGTTCTGGTTATTTATTTTGATGTTAAAATAACTAAATAGATTGATTTAATAGGGCAAAATACTCACCGAAATTGTTATCATTTACTGATTTGTTCTACACGTAATTGTAAATGGATTTAGCTGACTTGATTGACTAACGTTTAATAGTGCACAAAATCTCTGACCCGCATAGAAGCTTTGAAACATTACTAGGATAAAGTTGATGCGTTTGAGATAAATGAATTAATTGTTTTTGCTGCTTTGAAATTTTGGTCTGACGTTTAAGTTCGCTGCATTTTTAACAAGCATGTGCTTAGCTCTCTGACTCTGACGTATAGTGGTTTTATAGGCGTACCAGTTTGAGCTACCAGTTTTTCCGAGCATTGACAGTTACTGCATTGACACTCTGTTTACTTTTTCACCTTGTTTTTAAAAAATGTTTTTTGGAGGGTTAGAATTCTCTCCCCCCCCCCCGACCCTTATTTCTTATCACCATCATTACTACCATCATCATCATCGGCTTCGTCATCATTCATTAAATTCTTTTGTGTATCCAACACGTCATCATTCCTCTTTTCTCCAGCAATGAAGTGTTTGTTTCTCTATTTCTTGTTTTTGTTTGTATGATTTAGTTGTTCTTTTGTGGTTTTGCTCTCTGTAGTTTTTCTCCTCCTTGTTTTGTTGATAGTTTGGACTTGCTCTTGTTTAAGAAATAGTTTGTAGGTTCTCAGTTTATATGTGTTTCGGACTGATATAGATAATATACAAATAAGCGATTTATATTGAACTTTTAGTTTGATTTCTTCTCAGAGTTTAGGAAGAGATTTTCTTTCTCTTCCTGTAGGCAGTTCTCTGACTTCTGTAATTAACTTCAGTAATTCAAAGTAGATTTCAGTAGTTCGGAAATACTCTAGTAGTTAAAACTGAGAACGTTTTCTTTCCCATTATTTACTGTTTTGTGTTTCCGCCAGATATGTGCGAGTGTATCAAGGGTTGGTCTAGTTTCCAATCTCTCTGCCACAGTGCCGTGTTGCAGTCTTGATTTAGTTCTGTGCTAGCATTTTACAAGAGCATCTCAAGAGGCCTGCCATTAGTTCAGTTTGTATCATACTGGACTTCCGAGCATATGGCCCTGGTTTTAAAGCGCAAGGGGATGTTGTGAGCTTGGCTTGTCTTTGGGGAGTTTTTAAGGCTCTCCACCTATGTGGCTTGGTTCTATCGGAGGTGGATGGTATATATGGAGGTCTTGACTCTTCAGTAATGTTTCTATGGTGTCCAGATTGCTGTTGAAAATTTTTTGGTTTCTTTATCCGTTTTTGCCGCTTTGTTTTTTTTTGGTTTTGTTTTTTCTTTTTTGAAACACCCAAAGTATTTTCTTTGTGTTCGAATGTTCTAATCTTCACAAATGGGCTGACTGAGTGATAGGGAATTAAATTGAGATACAAAAGAAAAAAGAAAGGAAAGAACTGCTGCGTGAAGCTCGTTGATAATATATCAAAACTGGAGAGTGCTCAAGCTTTTTGGGTTTTAAAAAGAAAAGAAATTCCACAAGGGAATGTGATGATTTTATTCAGCAAAGACTTCTGGGAACATCTTTTGGTGCGTTTTGCCTTTCATCAGAAAGCTTGTGCACTCTTGTGTCTGAGAAATATTTTCTGACCTGTATAGCGAAATTCTTTAAACCTCCTTATATGAGCCTACCACTAAACTTGCAGAAATGTCGCGTCGGGCAGCGGAGATCCGATTTGAGAAACGATTGGAGCGACAGCAGCTGAAAGAGATGGAAAAGAAAGAAAGAGAAGCAAAAGGTTTGCATGAATATTCCTGTGGAATTTTTGCACCCTGCATCCGAAGTTAGTGTCCTTAAATTGTTGACTTTTTCTATATATATATATATATAATGAAAGAACTATCAGTGTTTCCAGTCATATTCCCCTCATTATGTATATACATATATTCCCATAGTTCGTCGATTTTTTAAACATGAATCAGAAATAAAAGTTGCTGAACGTAGTCTCATGCTGCTATTTCTCAATCTCTGGCATGTTTAGAGGAGTGTGAAGCCAAGTTTGAAGAGAGCGTGTGCTGCTTTATTTTGGTGTTTTTCTTACGTGCATTTGTTTGATGTTGTTTAACTCTTCGCTTCTATACTCCTAACATTGTTTTGTGTGGGTGATTCTGAGCTGTGGGCTGGAAGCAAGTTGTTGTTTGTTTCATCTTTTCTTTCTAGGTCATCCCAGGGTATTTTTTGATTAATGATTTTGTTGTTAACTGCACAGTTAATTTTTGTTTTACCCAACATCTGGCATGAAAAACTTTGTTTTTATATTTGTATATAAAGCACAGTGGAAATTGTCCAAGATGGTCAGCCATTGACGAGGAGAAAAGTAGTTGTCTTAGATAGGTGGATGTCTCGAACCGTTTCATTATAGTATTAGTGGTCGTTTGTACAAGTGATTATTTTAGACAGGTGGCTGTTAGAGCAGGTTCGACTGTATGAACTATTGCTGAAAACAAGTTTTACCGAAAAATTATGATCTGTTGAAGTGATTTGATCACAGTAGAGGGAGGTGACTACGAGGTTCTTATTAATTCTTAACAACTTCATACCTACTTCATGGAAGTAGAAAACAGTTATGCCTCAACGGTTTGTCGCTTTCTAGTCAAGCTCTCGCACACATGCATGCAAACCCATGCATGAGAGGGCTCACACTACAGCAGGCTTGCATATTGTCTTCTCACTGACCACCCTCACTTGTACGTCAACTGGTTAAGCTTTCATTTACACGTTCTCTCTCTCTCTCTCTCTTCACTCTGTTTGTGTATTGTTTCTAATACGCAGTTCTAAAAATGGGTGGTTAGCAGGTGCTCAGGTGTGGTTTACTCCTTCTTTCTCCTTCAAGCATCTATTGTCCTTATCTCTCGTCCTCCTTTTCTATGTATGTTACTCTCTTGTAACACCTGTAATCTTCAGCACTTATACGACCTATTTTTGTTGCAAGTGCTGTAAATCCCTTATGAAAACTGAATCAAGCAAATTTAAGCTAAAATAACCAAACAGTTCTTAAGCTCCCCGAAAACATTTTTCTCTGGATTTGTCTACCTCCTTAATGCATGTCCCTGTGTATGTCTGCAATATACAATCTGTCACCTGTTTCTTTGTCTTCCTGCCAGTCTCTCTCTTTCTGTTTGTCTACCGGTCTCTAATTTGGCCTTTTTGGGAGTTTTCAGTTTTCTGCTCTGGCTTTGTACGGTCCTGTTAAAGGCAGACGATAAATTCAGAGGATCCGCCTCTTAATCAGTGTACAGTATCTATAAGAGCAGTAATAACCCTGTTACTCAAAATTATCGTCTTCATCCTGTTAACCTTTAGGCATAAGTCAGACTTTGGCCAAATTTTAAGGAAGCCATCAACATACCCCCAGGGAACTATAACTTGTCTTCATATAATCTTTGTAATAATTTGTAAATAAGTAAGCATTAAAACGCTTTAAAAAATATTAGCCGCACTCTCTTTCTATTCTATCAAACATGTATCGTCCTTGTCTCTCCTTCTTGTCTTTGCTTGTTATACTCTAATAACCCTTCTAATCTTTGGCACTTACAGGACCTATTTGTGTTGCAAGCGCCGTAAAACTCTAACAGACACATTGTGTTAATGTGCCACCTTTGATCTTGGTCACTTGTATGACCTATCTGTGTTGCAAGTACCATAATACTCTTATGAAAACATGAATGACTATTTTTGTGTTAATCCATTTATTTTCCTCAAGCAAATCAATTTTATTGATGTGCGTGTTGTTTTGTTTTTGCTTGCAGTGTTGGAGAAGAGGAAGGAGAAGGAGCATCACAAGATCATGAAACAACAGGAGAAGATGCGCATACAGGAGCAGATTAGGAGGGAAAGGGAGATGAGAGCTCAACAGATTATAGAGGTAGAGAGAGGGAGAGAGAGAGAGAGAGAGAGAGAGAGAGAGAGAGAGAGAGAGAGAGAGAGAGAGAGAGAGAGAGAGAGAGAGAGAGAGAGAGAGAGAGAGAGAGAGAGAGAGAGAGAGAGAGAGGGGAGAGAGAGAGAGAGGGAGAGAGAGAGAGGGAGAGAGAGAGGGATGGAGGGAGGGACCCTAAAAGTAAATAAGGAAGGGAGAGGAGAGAGAGAGAAGAAATGGCACCAAAAAAAGAGAATTCTACAAAAAATTTAAAAAATAACATGAAAAGTAATGGAATAGTAACACTCATAGATTTTCAAGTAAGAGTAGAGTTCAGTGTAAAGTGTAAAAAGAGAGCTCATTTGTAAAAAAAGATACAATATAACATGAAAATACTTTTAGATTAGGTTATATTTTTATTCTCATTTTTCTCTCAAAGGCTAGAAATCGTCGTCAGCAAGAACTGGAAGAGTTGAGGATTCAGGATGCCCTGAAAAGAAACAAGGTGAGAATCTTTCTAGCGATGTCGTTGTGACTTGCTGGTTCTCTAGCTAGTTTAGTTTTATTAGAGGTTTTACAGCGCTGGCAATTGCCTAAGGTCATATGAGCGCCAAGGGGTGGATGTCAACTGAGAAGTCCTCACAGGGAATGAGACTTTCTCTGCTCACCTGTCTAGCTTCAACAGCACAAAGTCTGCTTCGACTATCTAGGCACCCCGGAAATAGTGGGTCACATGAGTGTGACAAACATACATTAGAAGAAGAGGAAAATTATGATAGTAAGGATTAGGAAAGAAAAAGCAGCAATTCCCTGTTGCAGTTCAGGCACAGTTATGAGCATGACATTGTTGAATCAGCCCATTTACAATTACAATTCTACTGTGCATAAGAACATGGTTAATGTCCCCCCCCCCATTGGGAATGGCCTAAAGACACTTCAGTCAGAAGCACCGCCCCAGGGGGTGTTGCTGGTTCTGTCTGTCTGTCTGTGTTGTGATGTCGAATAGTAGTCATACAATGTCATTGCTGCTGTCTCTAGAAGAGTGAACTTTCTAATTTTTCTTGCTTTAGGGTCAGTAAGTGGAATCTAAGTGGGTTTCTAAAACTTGCGTCCATCTCCGATATCACAGAGCCACCAAAACAACTTAAGATTCAGAACGCCATGTTGAAGATTCGAATTGGGGGTCGTCTGCTCAGTTGTCCAGCATGATACTGAGCTAATGGTACTGAGCAAATGGTACTGAGCTAATGGTATGCCCTTTTTGTTTGTGAGAAATACAGCAGTTGTGAGTGGTAGTTTGTTGGATAAAAAAGTTGCTCTAAGTTTTGTTTTAGCTTTGATAAGAGTTTCATGACTTTTTCAACGCAAGTAGGTCATATAAGTGTTGAAGATTAGAGAATATCAAACAAAGTAAAGAGGGAAAGGTAAAGATGATAGATGTTTGATCGGAAAGAAGAAGCAGATCTCACCTGAGCACCTGCCTACCACCCACAAAAGTTTTGCTTTTTCCTCCTAACAGGAAAGGGAGATGAAAAGACAGCAACTGATAATGATGAAGGAACAGGTGACTATTTTCGGTGTTTCTATTGTGTACAAAAATCTTTTGTCTTTTGCTTTGTTTCCTTTCTACTTTGTTTCTATGTCTGCCTGTTGGTCTATCTTTTCGTCCTTCAGCCTGTCTGCCTGTTTGTCTGTGTGCTAGTCTGTCTGTCCGCCTACATGCCTGATTGCATCTGTCTGTCATATATATTGTCTTTTGTTACCTCCTTTTAACTTTATGTCTTTATTATAATTTAGGGTAGTGCAATCACATTTAACTCTTAAACCCTGAGTTTTTTCCACGGTTTCCTGGAGTTTTTTTCTAGTCACCTAAACCTTGTGCTCTGTTGTCTCATTATAACCCCAAAAGCTCCCCCCCTACTTTTAAATAACTAAAACAAAAGCTTAGGTGATTACTAAGAAACTTGGATCTGAATTTATTCAGAAAAACAAGCTAAAGCTAGCACTAAATGAAACGAAACTGTTGTCTGTATTGGACACTTCCAGTGTCTGTTACGGAACAGGGTTATTACCGGCGG